AATGCCTGGAACACCTGCTTCCTTTGTTCGGCGTTCAGTCCCTCGATGTCCACGGTGAAGATGTCGGTGAGCTGTAGTAGTCGAAGTCGAACGGTGCGGCGAACCTCACTGCTGGATGCCCCCGGTCGTTCTCGGTGTACGCCTTCGCACATCTGTTTCCAACTGCTGTTGCGATTGCGGAGTTGGTCGGTGTAATTCTCTTTTCTCCAGCGGAAAACTTTGCCACACAGCTTGTAGAACTCGTAGATGCTGATGTTGTCTGTGAGCTTCTCGTTGATATAGAACCGTGGCTTGCGAACCCATCGGCTCCTTCGATCGTCCCACACGGAGTCGAAGTAGCACTTGGCGTACTGACCGCATCGGGCGTCCACTGCGATGTGCCAATAGGATGGCTTGTGGTCGTAGTCATCGTCGAAGTCGGCGACTATTGTCCTGTCGTAGGGATCATATCGGCGTCCCCCCAAGGTTCCTCGCCCCCGGATCACTGCTGGGGAAAGTCCTGAGCCCTCGCTGTACCAAACGTAGTCATCGGAGTGGCACGTCGCACACTTGTAGCAGCAGCGGTAGTGTATGTTCCTCCAGTCGGAAATCTCCTCGAGGTTGATGCAAAGAAGCCAGTACTCGGGGAAGAAGGAGCCACAAAAGGTACAGTCCAGAGACTTCTCGTGGATCTTGTGGTCGATGCCGGCTGCGATGTACTGGCAATACTCGATGACCCTTTTGGTGTCCTCCTCGGAGCACTTCTCGGCCAAGTTGAGGTCGGCGTCTTTCGTCGGTCTCCCATGGCCGTCGACGTCTACACCGGAGAGCTTGTTCTTCCAGATCCTCACCAGCTCCTCGTCGGTGGCTTCGGGGTGTGTCATCCGGAGATTTGCGATGCCCATCTTCTCGGAGACCTTTTTGAAAGCCAGGACTTCCAGGGCCTTTTGGGCTGTCTCGTCATCGTAGTGTTTCCGACGAGCTTTCGCGGCCTTGCCCTCGTCGGTGTCAGGATCGGCACCGGTTTTGAAATATTCCGCAAGTGCCCGCGCTGATGCAAGCACCTTATCCGAAGTCGATGATGCCGCTGTGTTCGA